AGCCGCCTGTCAGGACGAAGCTGGCCAAGCTATGATAGCAGGGAGAGAGGACAGACTCTACTTCGGGCTTGTTTGTCTTCATTTGACCACTCATAACCCTCGCCACCATCTGGGACTGAAAACTCGTACACGCGCACAAAGACCTGGCTCAGGGCGTTCACCACCGGGGTCATTTTTGTATTTGTATTTGAGGTGTTCTAGTTAGAGCCTTTGGTGACCAAGTTTGTGCCAAATTCGCACTCAAAATAAAGTTGCAACCATTTAAAATGAGTACAGTTCACTATACAGCATTAGTAATTAGAAAGCGCATCTGCTCAATCCTAGTCATTAGGGAAAGATGGAGTATGACAAATTGTTTTACAAAATTGGCTGTAAGTTATCATGTTGTAAAAGTCGGTGTTTGTCGAAGATTACATGAGAAAGTTTCTTCTCCAACATGCAAATTGTGTCATTCGTTACAATCTCACTTGGTAACGAGTTCGATGGTCGGACAACCCGTTGACAGAAAGAGAACTTCCTACGGTCTAGCCGCGTGCGTTCGCACTTGACTTTGTAAGGATGGCCGCATAGTTGACTTGCAGTGGCAAACTCAAAAAGTCCTCCGTCTTCAGTGAACAACTTTGGCCACAGATACTCCGGAATGTCCATAATACACTGCAGTTTACTTCTTTATAGGTTAGGGGGAATAAGCCAAGCACATTCAGCCTTTCCTGGAACGACAAGTGCTTTAGGTCATCGACCATTTTCGCTGCTCTACATTGCACTTGTTCAAGTAAGTCGATATCCATCTTCATCCGTGGTGAAACTGCTAGCATTCCATATTCCGGGTGGGGTTCTACAGCGACTCCGAAAAGTCTTCTGAAGATTCGGGAGGCAGTATTTCAAATGCACGCCTGATCCAGTGTAAAGTACTGTTTGCCTTCACGGCCGTCTTTCTTCAGTGTTTTAGATTGCACTAGATTTTTGGTCGTCCATACACACATATTTAATTTAATTTATTAAATGCCAGTTTGCAGGCATTGTCAAGGGAAGCGATTAAACACAAATCAAACGAGCAGTGAAAAAAACTCCTGAACTAAAGGGATAAAAATATAGTTGATGGTCGTTTTTATGGTTTGGAGGGCTCAGAAGAAAAAACTGCCGGCGGTGGTAGAATATCGACCGTCAAGAAGGGGGGAGGGGGTGGCACGGTATCGGAGATTATCGGACGTCAAATTCCTTTCATGAAGTTGGGGATAGTCAAAGTAGAGGCGTTGAGGAACAGCTGGTGAGACCGGCCATAGTGTGCAGAGACCACAAACGCCATCGCTACGGTACAGTCGATCAGTAGATTCAGCACCCAACATTTGTGGGAGCTTTTGTGAATGCAAAAATCGAGTAATAGTTCTCTTAAATAAAGGATAATTTTGCAGAGTTTTCACACTCATGGGTAGTTTATTCCAAATAGCAATTGCATTTACAGAAAAGAACCGACGATATTTAACAGTACGTGCCAGAGGCAGAAATAAGAAGACCTCACGGTGACTGTTACGTCGTGGGTGGATATGATGTCTTAAAGAGGTGAGTGGGTTAAATGTGTGATTATATAAGAGTTTAAATAGTAAAAATAGTCCTTTTTGTAATCTACGGAACCATAAAGGATCGAGGCCTGTAAGCCGGCAACGTTCTTGGTAAGACAAATGTCGGTGTTCCGGGGTTAAAATTCTCTTGGTAAAAAAGTGTTGAACGGATTCTATTTTCTTCCGCTCAGTAGCACGCATGAGGCTAAATGAAAACGAACAGTAATCCAGACCAGGCCTAACGTACATGTTAAAAAGGCGCATTCTAATATCCCTAGTTTTAAAATTTCGGAGGATAAACCCGGTCGTTCTACGTGCTTTGGAGACTATCAAGGCACAGTGCTCCGAGAGATTGAGACTCTTGGAGTATGATACCCCCAAATCCTTTATAACCCCTGGCACATTTATTGCGTGACCTTGAATACTTAGTTGAGGTTGGTGGTCGTCGCCAAACACCATGACTGAGCACTTATGTCAAGAAAGAGAAAGGCGCCATGTGCGGCACCACTGGGCGAAAGCCTGTAGATCGCTCTTTAGGAGCTCAAGCACGGTGTCATGATCTGCCGGCCTATATCGATATGCAACTTTAAGATCATCGGCATACATGAAAGGCTTACCATTCTGAAATAAATCGGGTACATCATTAACGAAAAGGCAAAATAAAAGCGGGCCGAGTACAATACCCTGAATGACTCCACTCCTCACACGTGTGGGGTTGGAGATGGTATTGAAAATCCTAACTCGTTGTGTGCGAGTGTCCAAATAAGAGGATATAAAATTCAAAAGTTTTCCACCTATTCCGAAAGAGGACAATTTCAAGAGGAGAAGTGCATGGTCAACACGGTCAAAAGCCTCAGGGAAATCGAAACATACTATGTAAAGAGCAAAACCATGGTCCCTAGATTGGAGAACATAGTCAAAGAAAGAGAGTTGACAGGTGTCACAAGATCGAGCTTTGAGGAATCCATGCTGAGCAGCACTCAGTAAGTTATTCGCTGTTAAGTGACACATCATCTCTAAGATCTTCGAAACTGCAGGGAGGGTGTTTATTGGCCGAAAGTCATTAAATGATGTAGATTTGCCGTGCTTAGGAATGGGCAAAATGTGTGATTCCTTCCACAAGGTAGGATAAGTTTCACTTTCAAGAGCGAGATTAAATATCTTGCATAAGAGGGATGGGAAGCTCGTGTTTGCATCGGCTTTTAAAATGCTTACTGGGACACCATCAGGGCCTGGACTATATGACCGACGAAAACGCCGAATCGCAACAGTCACATCCCACAGAGTTAAAGTTATAGTTTCTAGAACTGCCCCGGTCAATGACGGGATGGTCGGAAGCGGAGTGGTCGAGTCTTCAATAAACGTTTTGGACAGGAAATCATTGAAGCTATCCGCGGTTAACTGGGCATCAACTAGGGGATTTCCGAGATCGTCTCGAAGGATGGGATACTGCGTCTTTCTCTGAGTTCGTATTTTTCTAGAGAAAAGTTCCGAGACACTTAACGAATGGTTTTCGGTAAAGTGGACCTCTTCGGCTAGCTGTTTTTCTTCAGGCAATCTCTTAGCTCGATCAAAAATATCACAAATCAAGGGCAGAACAGAAACATTGTTCTGCAGATGGAAACGACGATAAAGCCTGCGCAATCTGCGACGAAAGGGTAAAGGTAGGCAAATCTCATCCCCAACATTAATAATTTTCTTACGGGGGACAAAACGAGAAATAAGCGGATCCAAAATTTCGTACAGATTTGCAGTGCAAACATTTACATCCAAACTAAGGAAGAACTCAGTCCAGTCGTAGGAATTAAGGTGTGTTAATAATTCGGTTGAGCGAGTTGATCGGAAATCGCGGAAGAAGTTATACTTTTGGGACGACATTTCGTCAGCCTCGAATTCCAACGTTGAAACAACTATGTCATGGTCTGAGCCCCCGAGAGGGCCTAGGGATGACACTGACGATGGCAAACAGCCTCTACACAAAGTTAAGTTAAGTATACTTGAGCCTCGGGTGGGAAAATCGACAACCTGAGTCCACATCCCGACATCCGCAGCCTCAAGAAAGTCATCGAACCTTCTGGGGCCTGAAGGCGGAGACCAGCGGACTTCAGGGAGATTAAAGTCACCCGCAACCAGTTGATACTTAAAGCTTAAGTCGGCCGCAGCATGAAATGCCTGTGAGAGTAAATGATCAAAATTGTCATTGGCGTTGGGAGGACGACAGACACGGCCAACGAGTAAGGAGAACTTATTTTTTAGTGCAACCTGGAGCCAGCAGCTGCCTTCTACTGCGGAAAAGTGCGGGAGGTCCAACGGCAAAAATATAAGTGTTTGCTTAACGTAGACGCAGCTGCGCCCACCACGGCTATCTTGGCGATCATTTCGAATGCAATTGTAGCCTAGAAGAGAGAGTTCGGAGTCAGCTACTGAGGCTGATGCCCACGTCTCAGTTACTAAAACAATATCAGGACAATGGACGAACACCTGAATCTGAAGCAAAGGCATCTTATTAAGCAAGGATCTGGCATTTAAATCAAAAAGTTTGAAGGGAAAGGCTGTTAATTTTTGAGGGAGGTGGGCTACATCGTCCAGTTCTGGGTCGCTCACGGAGCAAACGGTCCGGATGCAACCATCCGGTTCTGCAAAAAATTTTGTGGCATCAAAAAATTCTGACGTGGATAAAAAGGGGTAGGACTTGGATTTCATGAAGCGGTAAGTTGACGGGTCAAGCAGGACTGGCCTGTATGTGGTATTGAGTAAATTTTCGAAACGGGTATCATTAAGCCAGAATTGATATGCCCGATGAGGCTATTCATGTGAAAGTGGCGAAAAGAAATCCAGTCTCGAGGCGATAGGAACCCCGATGCGATCGGTTACAGTCAGACGAGTCCAGCTGAGAAGGGGCCAAGGGAGATGTGACCAGACTACTAGTACATGGCGAATACAGAGGGGTCCGCCATGATCGTCGGCAGAGTGCATTTTCTGAGGGACACGAGACATGAACCGAAAAATCGAAAAAATAACATTTCTGATGAGGTATCCTAGGAAGCGATACTACACACAAAAGAAGAAAACGTAAGCGAATACGGAAATCTAATGGCGGCGTCCTAAATTCCCGGTGAACC